TAAACAAAATTTATCCGCACGTATTAAAATAATATGTGACAGCATTAAGAACTCGGCTAGATTATCATGTTAAATAAAACTAGATATAGTTATGTTACTGGCGGATCCTGGGGAGGGGGAGGGGGTGTTTGGTGTTAACCCCCCCCCTTTCCCAAGTTAAAAAATCAATTTTGCTGGATCCGTTTCAAAAATCTTGGTAAAAAATGCATTAAAGCAGGTCAAAACCCCCCCTATTATTGACATCAGGATCCGCTAGTGAGTTACGCAATCCATCTAGATATTATTCGTTAGATTCTGTGTATGATTGAGCAGAAATTGGATTATCATTGTTGGCCTCGAGCACGTGAGTCATCCGAATTATTATATCCCGGAAAATCTGCGCTCTCTAGAGATACACAGGAGGATGCCTTCGAGAAATTATACACGTGCTTGAGGCTCGAGCTTATGATACGGAAAATCGATTGACACACCTACGATTAAATAACAAAGGAGATAATCTTTTCAATGAGGCCAAGTGCTATTCCGCCCCTTGCTTAGCTCTCGACCGCGGTGGATGGATATTGCGATCGATTCCACGAATTTCTGTCTATAATTGGTGTCTCCGAAGACAATAAGTATCCGTGTCTTTATTGCGCTGCCTGGCCGGAAAGGATAATGCGATTGTCCATTGATGTAGTCTTCCTCGCTCAAAGGACCAACTCTCACGTGCGCGAAATAAATCTAATTAAAATCTTATTACACTTGATAGTCTATAATACATATCTCAACGCAATCTCGGGGCGTGTAAAGATTGCAATTATAGCGTTACTGATTTTATCGAACTGTTATTAGATTAATTTTAGCTCTTTTTTAATACATTTTAAAAATAGTATCGTATTTATCTGTAAATTGTATCGAATAATAATTTTCAATGTCATGAGAAACTCCAGGAGGAAGTAAGAATCTAATTCTGTTCGAACAATTAAGAAAAAGATCGCGCAATCTTTTTGTCTTAGAACATCGTAGCAAACAGCTATGTTGAACGAATAGTTCGCCGATTGACGCAACAGACACATGGTCGATAATAGTCGGACGATCGATTTTGTATTTCGGTCCATTTTTCATTATGCAAATGTTGTCTCATGTCTCATGAGAAAAAAATTTCCATCTTTGTTAGAGAAACTCGCACGTCACCACCTGTTCTCTGTAAATAATTATTTCTCAAATGTGTGCAAACCGCGTATAGGCGCGAACAAGCCCGGACATCTCAGGATTCAACAGCCACGATCCAGTTAAAGCCAGTCGGATCCAACCATTCTGGTAGACCATCTGGAATGTGACACTGTTTCGGATTCTAAAGCGCTCATTCTCACTTGGTACGAAATGCAGTCACCAAGGATAATAACTTTAAATGCATCTAGAATAATGAAACATATGAGAGAAAAAAAGAGAACTGAAGTTAGCCTCGAGAGACCGCAGAACAAAGAATTTACGTGACAATGATAATAATTTTTTTACGTCAAATATGTATACAGTAATATTTTATGATTAATTTTTATCTTCTTTTTTATTAATTAAAGTAATCAACGAAATCTTCTTACAATTTACGGAAACAAAGATGAAAATAAAGTCGATTTTATCATCAGTTAATTTTTATCTCAGTTTAAAACAATTCTTTATTTTTTTTTAGTTATATTTTTAAAAAGATATAGTAAATGCCAGTTAAGTTTATATAACATTATAAAATGAGAATAAAATTTTTATTTTGATTTACCGCATTTGGCTTCCATTAGTCATTTTAATGTTGATATTCAGTTCTCTTTTCAGTTCCACGGCACATGTTTTCATGTTTTATGCACGTGCCTTTTTGTCTCATAGCTTTTTGTTGGAATTTCCTTTAAGAATAAAAAAGAAAGGCGCGGAAGAAATACGTCAGGAGTATACTGAATGAGGCCAAAGTGCTGCGAAGAGCCGATCGATAGAGCAACACGTGGTTCAGATATACCAATGTTTGTCATAGGGATAAAACAGACGAAACCCAATCCGTATGACCTGACTTACGCAATTGTCAAGAATACTTTTTGCAAACGTTTGTGCACCACATCGTGTCGTTGATCGCGTAAAATTGTTACTGCAGGTGGGCGTCTTTCAGACTTCCGCACATTAAGAATATGAGAATCAAGTCTTAGCAGCATGTCGTAAACATTAGATCGATCAAAAACTTCGTTCATCTCTTCCTGTTTTATTAATATAAGTGCCACAAAAAGAAACATAAATTTCTTGATTCAATAAATTTAAATGTAGGGAGCAGATTCTTGAAATTTATTATTATCGTATCATCTTTGTTTAATACTTACCTTAATTAACTATTCATCAAGTACTTTAGATAATATGTGACTTCTTTTCAGTCTTGACTTATTTATCTCTTTATACATCAATAGAGTATTCTGAATTGAATTCGCTCGCTTTCATTCGGAACAAATAGAAATAATAACATCCTTTATAATCCTCGTTAGCTTCTTCATTTCTAAATTTGAAATTTTTCTTCGTACAATCCACTCCGTAGTTTCTAACACGGAAGTTTCTTTCACAATATTTTTCTTATTTTCTTTGCTATTTGTGTTACGATCGGTATCTTGTTTCTACAATCCACAGAGTTTTATTTCGAATGCATAGCAGTACGAATAATATATAATGTTTTAATAGTTAATAAACATATAAATGTATGTTTATTGCATATATATGTTTATTTATGCATATTGCAAATATATATATATATGCAGAATAAACAATTAAGAACTTTCTCGGTTGATATCGAGTTATAAATTCCTAATAATTTGGAGTAATGTAAAAACTAAATTTTAGAATAAAATGTTTGAAATTTTTTAATTTTAAGAAATACATTCAGTAGCGCTAAAATGCTATTATATTTTTTGATAATCTAAGCTGCGAACTATAAAAAATCTGATTTTTTTCAGAACAATATAAAGTATAAATTTTACATATAAAACGTAATTATGTTGCGTCTATTTCACATTCTACAATCTCGTCACAGTATCGCGCGAACATGCATATATACTTACAATGTAACATTACTTTTATTTAGAGATTTTATTATTAAATAAGATATTATATTCACGCTACAAACTTATCGATTGATTATAATTTATATATTTGGAGACATAAAAGCCTTGTAACATTGGGACTTGGCTTGATTTGGTTATATACCGATAAATAGTACATAAAATTTCGATATTTTTCTACGTAATACAGTATTATATATTCGTGGTCCAAGACATGTATCCTCGAGGATCGGCTATCGGATAAATATCACTTGTGGACCTTATGTCCTTTAACTCTACATGTAACGTGATGTTAGCCTACGAGTTTTCATGTTTCTGCCATCCTAAGAGTCTATCGATTGAAACGTTATCGGCGCTTTTACATTATTGTTTTCTACTTTGACATCAGTCGTTAATTGCAATTACAAATAACACGATCGCAGATACAGCCATCTTAAACTTATTAGCAATAGCGCGGAATTATTATTCGCATAGTAATTGATAGTACGATTATGCTGTTCATATAATTTGTATGTTTGAAAGACATGAAATGTACCATTATAAATTTAACTTACAAGTTTTATTATGACATTCTCAATCACGCTAAAGATTTTAACTGTGATGTTTTTTCGTTACTAAAAGATATTGTTTTTTTTTTTTTTTTTTTGAGGTATGCAATGATTGATCATGAACATATATACTTATGTCCCATTTCCACTAATATTTAGATTAACTTTAATCTCGGTTCAACTTACTCTTCATCTTTTTCTAGTTCTAAGAATTAGAAAAAGGTGAAGAGTAAGTTGAACCGAGATTAAAGTTAATCTACGTTGGTGGAATCGGGCATTAAACACCTATAAAGGACATCTTGTTCATTAAAAGAAATAGACAATTTTGGTACAATAAAAATTTAACTTATTTAAAATATATTTTTTAGAATAATCAAAAAGTCGATAAAATTAAAATTATTTGGCAACAATCAAGTAAATAAAATTCATTAGATCATCTGATAATTCATCTATAATTTTTGCAACCAAGGCCGATTTCGCCACTTTCGTCTCACTTAAATTATTATTAGTACGGATGATAATTCAGGACTTTAAAATATTTTTAAAAAGAACGAGTAACTAATATCATTATACATATATACTAACTTTTAAATACACCTGATACATTGCACTCGTGGACGGACATTTGCTTTTAGTCCGTACAATTAGGCGTTCACCAAAAAAAAACACCGGTATATCGCGGCTTAAAAATCAATAGTTAACGGTTTATATATAATGTATAAATAAAATCTCTCAAATGGATTAATCAACGCAATTGTCGGAATGATCGTAGACACTCTACATATTTACAGTTATAGAGAGCGACACGCCACGAAATCGAGATATACTCTATACAATGATAACAACAACAATAACAATAACAACAATAAAATAGCTATTGATTTGAAAAAAATCAGAAATGCAGTCGTCCTGTCCGGTTTACTATTATAAAAAAAATGATTGTTGCGTTATCGAGGATGATTATCGCATAAACAATTATGCATTTCATAAAGTCGATTCATTTTCAAATATCGTTAGAAAATATTCCCAAAACAAGTTTTCTCAAGACATTTGATCGCATTACATCAATTACATGGAAGATTACTAAAAAATAAGACAAATAATTAATGTCAACATTAAAATTTCAATCAAGCTCGTCCCTCCTCTAGTTTTAGTCTTCGACATTCCGCAGATATTGCGAGTCGCATCGAGCGATAATATCAATGTAATACCTATATTTTATCGTAAGGGATATCCAAAAATAATTGCTTAAAGGATCTGAAAAAGTTTTTGATTGAACATTGAATAGTAAAACAATCAACTTGAGTTATTTATTTTTATAAAAGCCAATTTTAATTAAAATCTCATAAACTTTAAAAAGTAACAAAACTTTACAAACATTATTTTAAAATATTTGAAATATATTTAATAAATTATTACACATCGATTCATGACGATAATAATTAAGAAGGATATTTTTAGATATCCCTAAAACTTGCATCGACAAGATCGAAGCAATGAAACAAACTGCACCGACACTGGCGAACTTACGAATACTCTAAAGTTCATATATCACAAATTAATTCCACGCTACTTTAGGTAACATTTAGTTTCTCCAGCAAGCTTTAGTTTGTTGTCACATAACGTTCAGTGTTCTAACAAAATACAACATGCACCCTGTTTTATCAGTTCGATAATCACCATTTCGTCTGCATATAACAGTATTCTCTTTCTTCTTGAGAGACTCCGATATTAAAATCCGTCTGGCTTTAAATTGACGACATTTGGCATTTTCGAATTGTTTAATTCCTTTAATTCCTTTCTATTGGCGACAATCAATCGATCGATGCGTGCACTGTTTCGTTTGAAAAAGCGCGACTGCTTTTTCAGACAAAAAGTCTTTCAATTTCACGTATACGCGCACGCTATCGGCTAAACAAACACTCGGTCTTCACTCATCACCGTAAATGAAGTCTTATTCTCGGGTCCTCACAAACGCTTCACGTTGACTCCAGAACGCCGCCGGCGAGTTTCGTCGCGTACAGGTTTAGTGCCTTGAAAAAAGAAAGTTCTATTTTAGATGACTGCTTAGCGCAACATTGTAACGATGTCATTGCTTTTGAATAGAAATTCCATATATATGTCAGTAGATCAATTCATCTTTTAGCAATTGTGTATCTACTAATCAATTCTACAGAATATTTAACTTCGGATAAATCATATTGTTATCTGAATTTACAAGTTTTTAATTCATGTGATATTTGCGATTTTGTCGATCCTCGCAAATGATGATATGGCAATTTTCTTTAATCTTTTTATATAATCACTCTAGCTTTCTATTTTTTTATGTAACATATTTTAGCTTTTCGTACAATCGAAATATTCTGCCCAATTTTTAATAGACACTTTAATTTTATCTATTCGTAAATTTATATTTTATATTTACAAAGTAAATAATATTAAATAAAAAATTATCAGATTTATTCCAATTATCCAATTATTTGTTATAAAAAATTTATCTTGTTTGTAAAATAAAAAAAGAGAAACATATATCTTTTTAATGATCGGTAACTTTATGGTTTATCCTTATATGGAAAAAAAAATTGCAAAACTTGAATAAAAATATTCGTTTTCACACGCATCACGAATAAGGAATCAGGGTCGAATATGAATCACCTTATATATGAAAGCGTATTGCTCCTTCGTTTGAACTGCGCCAGCACGATCTCTTCTAATGGTGTAAACGACCCTCGGCACGTCTACGGTCCGCGTAATTTCATATTGCCTAATTCCTAGGTCGAGTGCTATTAGTGTGCCGGTGCGTCCTGTACCAGGACTGCAGTGGACCACGATAGGTCCGGGACCGCCTCGTTGGAGTGCTCTCGCCTCGAGAAGCACCGCTATTAGGCCTGTGCCGTCTGATTGGACGCCACTCACCGGCCATAGGTACCAAATATGGAACACCTCTCTGTACGTATTGTTCTCCAGGTTCTGCAAAGGCAATTCAATTAACTACTCAATGCAGTATTGTTGCTGCATTGTAAGTATCTCGTGATGTTGCATCCTGAATTTCTTAAGAGGATGCTGAAGTCATATTGTTACCGACCGAAACTTCAATTTTCTAAAAAGGGTGGCGTTTTTATTGCTTTAATAGAATTACAAATTCTTTGGTGTAAATAAAGTACATATGCTAATCTTTCGGCAGTTGGTCAAATTTAAACCAAAAAATAAAAAAATTTTTAGAAAATTTACCGACAATGTCACCTCAAAGAATTATATCTTTTATATCAAAATTATACTGCTTCAATCTGCAAAACAAGACCATGTGCCGAAGAAGAGCGTATGAAACAATAATGGAAAACCAAA